CTGTTCTGTTGTACCAGTCTTTTACCTATTAGGCCTCGGGAATTCTACAGTGGCGTCGGATTAGGGCGCAGACATGTTGGGCCACCTGGCCTCAGCCAATACCGTGTCCCTCTGCATTCCAATGGCATGCGAGGAAGATAAGCAGGTAACCAGAGAAGAACACAACTGAGGTGCAGTATATAATGAGCGGCGTGGCCAACGTAGTGGACTCGGATGGAAGGCGCCTGACGCGTGGCTCTGGCTTCTGATTGATCAATAAAGCCTGTTCTGTTGTACCGGTTTTCTTCCTATTAGGGTTCGGGTATTCTACAGTGATGACGGATCAGGGCGCAGACACATTGGACCACATGGCCTCAGCCAATTCTGTGTCTCTCTGCTTTCCAATGGCATGCGAGGAAAATAAGCAGCCAACCAAAGAAGGACACCGCTGAGGAGTAGTATATAAAAAGCGGCGTGGCCAGCGTGGCGGACTCGGATGGATGGCTCTGACTTGTAATTAGTCAATAAAGCCTGTTCTGTTGTTCCGGTCTTTTTCCTATTAGCGCTCGGGTATTCTACACAGCGACGGATCAGGGCGCAGACATCGGACCACCTGGCCTCAGCCAATCATGCGTCTCTCTGCGTTCCAATGACTCGCGAGGAATATAGGCAGCCAACCAGAGACACACAATTGAGGAGCAATATATAATGGGTGATGTAGCCAGCGTGGTGGACTCGGGTGGACGGCGACTGACTTGTGGTTCTGGTTTGTGATAGGTCAATAAGGCTTGTTCTGTTTTACCAGTCTTCTTCATAATAGGCTTCGAGTATTCTACATTGTAGCTGCAGCGAAGCATAGGGTAGCGGACATATTGGTAAACACTGGGCTCAGCCAATCCTCTGTCTCTTTAGTGGCATGCTAGGATGATTTGCAGCCAACCAGAGACACACACGAATAAGAAGCTGTATATAATGGACGGCACCTGACATAGGGATCTAGTTTGTGATTGGTCAATAGAGCCTGTTCCGTTTTACCAGTCTCATTCACACCAATGTAGCGACTTATTAGGACACAGACATATTGGTCCACATTGACCTCAGCCAATCCTCTGTCTCTCTGCGTTTAAATGGAATGCGAGGAAGATAAGCAGCCAAAAAGAGAAAGACATGAATGAGGAGCAGTATCCATTGCGCGGCGTGACCAGCGTGGAGGACTCGGCTCGGGTTTTCGAAATAGCATCGTAGAATAACGTAGACATATTGAATGCCGCCAGCTTCAGCTAATCCTCTGTCCCTTTGTATTCTAATTGCATAAGAGTTAGACTGCAGTCAACCAGAAACAGACATGAATGAGAAGTGGCAAATGGTGACCTTCGAAGCAAGCGTGGTTGACTCGGATAAACAGCCCCTGGCGTAGGGTTTTGGTTTGTAATTTGTGTACAAGAGGCATATTTACACTTGGGCTCGGGTATTCTGCACAAATTCAAAAAAGCCTGAACGACAAAATCATGAGTCAGCAGTACCACCATAATTCAAATTGCACAAAAGTGGGTACACCTGCTCCAAAATCAATATTGCATATTGCAAGAAAACAGTAAAAACTTTCGTAGTTGATAGTTAGATAATCCTGTAGACAAAAAGCTGATAGAAAAATTAAACAAATTTTGGAGAATATATATGTGCGATTAAAAGTAGACGAAAGTAGACAATTAAAGTAAATTTACTCTGCAGTATATGCTTGTCTTTTTAACACTTTATGCCATTATTTTTGAAAATAAATATTTGGACAATCATTTTTTAATCTGAAGTATCAAAAAAAGGTTTGCCACCTGGTTGCTTTCTGATTTACTGGAACTGGCTCATTGTTTTTAATGAATCATGTAGGTCCACACAAAAATATTTTGTGATTATTGATGAACCGTTCGGTAATGCTGTTAGTTAGTATTTTCCTTAGAATTCAATTTGTTCATCTGAGAGTTACATCGTTTGGATTATCAACATGTGTTACAAAAGTAGCTGCTTAGTATACTAAGATATTAACTTACATTAAATACTGGTTAACTGGATAAAAATAACTATAGTTTGAGTTGCATGGAGAAATTATAAAGCCTAGAATTCATGTTGCATTGAACTTAAAAATGTCAACTTAAGGAAATCAGCTTCATTTATAGTTTGTTATAGGTTTGATTACATTGTTTAAATATAGCGACGGAGCCATTGTGTCGTATTCAGAAATTTATATCTTGAGTTGAGATGCAGTGAAAAGTAGTATAATAAAAGGCAGTTTTCGGAATATTTATATCACAACTTTATTCTTACGCACTGCATATTTGCATATATGTAAAATTTGACCCTACCTCATATTCCTAACTGCCTTCACATAGTAGCATGTAAAAATCAATGTTTTTGGATTTGCAACAAACTAAACCGCCTAGGATATCTTTTGATTCATTGAGCTACTTGGCAGAGGTTGAACTACATAACGTGCAGTGATTTTAAATTGTTAATCATAATTTGGAGCAGAATCAAACTCTTTTGCATCGGTTATGGTAAAATTTTTTGGCAAACAGCACGCGAGCACACTTAGCAACTATGGACGAACGCAGTTAGCAAACCTGAGGTAACATGATTCAATTTATATAAGTGAATGCAATTCCCGTAAATATGTTCGTCCAGGAACCGATACTTAGCAAAGTTATTTATACGCATTTGTTATTATGTACGAACACACTTTACTTCACGACTTACTATAAGGCTGCTCCGTCGTTATTTCAGTCCTATTTCTCGCAACTCCAAGGAGCAAAAATCCTTTTAAATTATTTTGTGGAAATGTTTGATGGCTTTCATAAAAATAATACTTGTCGACTTGTTTCATCAGAACAAATTAGAAAAGATTGTTCAAAAAAATTCTTTTAGATATATAATAATATGTCGTATAATAAAGGCCCTTTAAAGCGCAAATGGTAATTTTAAGTGTTTTTGATAATACTGTAATTTTAATACAAACTAAATCGTTTTAAAATGTTTATTGTTATCGCGACTCTTTGAAAATCCTTCCTGCTGTATTTAATGATTTGGTTCGTTTTAGCCCGTGAACTTCGAATATATTGATATCATGCCAGAAGCTGTCTATCTTTTTGGTATTTTTAGGACACTGCTTATGTATAGTTGTGGAGACCTAAGGGTATTAATCACATGGTGTAAATAGCCCTCCCTTTAATTAATTTTGCTTAATTTTTGGTAAACACAAACCATTTTAAGGCCCATAAATTTGTCGAACGTAGTTCCTTTTTATGCTAAAACAATTAACTGATTCAAGCGTATGCATTTAAGAATAATTGGTTCTATGTTTCATTGTTTTGTAGTTTTTTTATTATAAAGTAACCCTTTTTGTGCGAGCCTACGAAGTCTGTATTTTATTTTTGCCTGTGTTTATAGTTAGCTCATCAATGACAAATGTTCATGAAGTAAGCAATTTATGGTTTTCTCGATATATATTAGGCGAAGTTATCAGAATCTTAAAATGGGATTTTTCCTTGATCCCTCGTCCATACTTAACCCTAATAATCATTAAGGCTTTAACTGTCCAGACTTAAATAGCCATCATATGGTAGTATTTAAAAAAAATATGACAGTCATGCTAGCGCGTAACACACACTTTTTCTTGCATTTCCATTTTTCGTCCGTGTAGCCGGACTTGTTTTTATTTCACATTTTAAAAGTAATTTTCAGTGCTAGATCAACTTCCATAGCTTATAACAAATAGTGAAAAGCAGTTTATAATTGTTGTATTTTTGGCTAAATAACGACGCCCGTATTTATTTCCAATATATATTTACCATTTCCCTATTTCCACTGTCATCTGCGTTTACAATATTTGACTTCATCATCGAAAGAATTACTCGTTCTATTCCACAATGACAGGAGGCTCTTTTAACTTTTTAAGGTAACAAATGGCCACGTACTTTGACCTTCGTAGAGTTCAGGGTTTGTGTTCGTGCAACCGCAGCTGTCCGCTATCTCAGCTATACTTTTGTCGTCACTGTTATGCTCTTCGATGTGGGAACTGTGTGTCACATGAAGTAAGTTTTCCCGTTTCATTTACCTTAGCGGGTGTTTGTTAGGAAATGTATCAAAACTTTACGTCAGATATGCAATGTGGCATAATTCGGTCTCCGCAAAATCTCACCCTAGGTCGATGCGTTGATTTCACTAAACATCGGCTTAACCGATTTTAATTTAACCACATTCCATTCGTAAATCGAATAGGATTTTGTAGAGAATACGGATAGTTTTTTGGATAGTCCAGGTATAGAAACAACGTGGCTCGTTAGGTATGCCGCTACTTGACATCTGGCAAAAATTGTGGTAAACCGAGACTTACCTGTTGTTACTAGGTGGATTCACACTACTGCCCCAATTGCCTGGAAAATATGACCAGCGCTGAAGCGAAGTTGCGTAAACATCGTTGCGGCAACTGTTTCGACTGTCCGAGTTGTGGCCACACTCTCTCGACTCGGGGCACCTTTGCCCTGGCACCCACGCCTGGCGGCACCCCTGGAGGCTCCTCCTCGACACCCCAGAAAACGTACTATTTGCTCTGTGCTTTCTGCCGCTGGTCAACTCGAGACGGTGGCATACCCGACCAGAATTCTCCTTCCGGTGGATGGCACGAAACGCCCAACCCACACGCTGAAGAAGTAAGTAAACATCTGGTTAACCAACTTTACTGCCACGGCATCCATGGTGGACTCCCATGCGCGTTAATTGATTATTGGCTGATGCACTTCGGACGTAATGTGAGATTGCTTATATGTAGTGTTCTGGCACGACGGTTTATTTGAAAAATGAAGACGGTATTAGTAATTTTAACTTCCAGTAAGGAAGATACTAGCAACAATGTAATTGGTCAATGTTATCTGTATAGACGAATGTGCGTTGCGTCAACTCTGGGCTTGGTCTACCAGGTTAGTGAAATCAGGCAACAAATTGGAGTAAATCGTCGCAAAAGCCCAACAGCCATTTGAGTTCTAGGAAAGTCTATTACTTTTTTAACTTAGGTGACGACTTTTATATGAAGCGAATCGAGCCTCATTAGCAGTATAACGTAAAAAAGGTCATGAGTACACAAATGGTGGCTGTCTTTTGGATTTATGCGTGTTCACTATGTTGTATTACTTTTTTTAACTTTTTTGATTGCCTACCGGGGGTATGTCTGTCCTTACCTAAGTTGATTCCCTGTTTGTCAACTGACATATCACACTAATGAGATTTCCCAGATCGAAGCAGCTACCTAGTCTAGTCAGATTGTTTTAAGTTCTGAATATAGCAGCCTCTGATAAAGACAGTGTAAAGATTATTGTAGAAATTCATCTATGGTATTCCACGTACATTCTGGTTAAATGTAGAAGTCCTTTAATCACGCTGTCATTGTCAACAGTTGCTTATGTGATTCTTCAGACGGGAATGGGGTGAGTCCCTCACTTTGCACTTTAAAGCCGTCGAGTACAAGGTCCTCCCAAATGCCTGGTTGTAAGCGCAAATCAAAAACTGGCTTCTACGAGCGAATGTAATCGCAGGTGCATCTTTTCATTTTATGTGTTTTAGATCGAAAAATTGGTCGCTGCCTACCGTCAACTGGCTGTGAAAGAGAAGAATGAACGCGAACGCAGCAAGTACGTGAGAAAACGAAACTACACCCTCCTAATGGTATGTTGTTTTTCATGCCTATTGGCTAATGTGAAGGTCAATCCAGTACGTGTGTACTTGTGACTCCCCGAGTATGCAAAATTGACTAACACCCTCCCGCCAAATGCTCATTCCTGTTTCATTGGATGAATTAAAAATGCTGATTCAATCAAATGAAGGCAACAAAATCGGATCATACGTTCAATCGAATTTACTGGTAATGTAATAATCGGATTCGTCTTTTTGAGATCAACTGAGGATGGCATCGAATTTTTTCGAAGACAGTGCTAATCATGCCCATCCAGAGCTTATACTCGGCAATTATCAAATGCTAGGAGATTTTGTTTATTCTTTTCCGCTTTGGTAAATCGCTGTTTGACTTGTGGTCGGGGTTAACTGTGAAATTCTCTTTCAATTCACAAAATTAGCTTTCTTTGGCGGTAAGTTTGGCTGTTGCGCATGCTACTTTTGTCCAAAATCCATTTTTCACGAATCCAATTTCCCACAACTGCGATCGCGTCTTGATTGGTACCTTTTTTTGCGAATCTGTGATTGCAGTATGAAAAAGGCTCTATCGCCGCACCTGCCGTACCCAACTTTGACCTTCTCTTGATAGCTCTGCATGCACTTCCTGTGTTAGACTGATTCTTTTTCCACCCACCTGCCTGGCTGTCGTCACAAACTTACGAGTAGTTGTAGTGCGTGCGGGTCGTTGCGCGCGTACCTAAGACTTTCTTTCCCTTCTACAGGAGAAGTATCCCGTCCTCACGCCTCGATTTCGCAGATGTCGTTCTTCAAACTGGAGCCTATATGGGTCAGTTGTTTTTGACAAACCGGAGGAAGTAATGTGCAAATTTATGACTAAAGCCGCCATTTCTTGGTCGGCATTGTTGCTGTATCTATGCCGGGATCACATTACTCGGCTTTGATGTAGTTTTCGTCACAGTGATTTGGCCCTCTAACAACATAGCTGTCGATCCACTGGTTGACAGTTTAATACAGAAATATGGAAGTACATATTGAGTATCTGTAGTGCCCTTGTTTTTTGTTACTAGCCGCGAAACGGAGCCGTCTCCAGAGATAGTTATTCCGAAAGCAACGGCCAAACCAATTTCGGGCAGTTTCGACGTCGACGCTCTGGTCAACACACCTCTCAACTTCGAGAAGGGTAAGGCTGCATTTTACTGTTATGCTCTAACCTGTGGGCTTGCGAGAGTGGGAGCCGTTTCGTGTTCATCTGCTCGTCTTCTAGTCGCTTTTGTTTACTAAAGCACAAAGTAGGATTGATGTGCAGGTGTTATGGGAAGCATTTCTGGTCCGGGGAACGCGAAGTTTTAGAGTTTGCGATTTCGTTCCTTTGCTCTAGTTAGGGCTCCTTACAATTCCGCTCTGAGTTCAGATTCAGGGCTCGTCTGAGCACTTGTTGACCGTGTCTTGGGGGAAATGGGAACCCACCTAAAGGCTTTCTCTCAATCAACTACATACAACGGAGTGCATCCTAATTTGTGTAAAGCAGTTTCTGATCCCGTGGGAAGTACAAGTCGACGCACTTTGTTCTTCTGACCCAGCGCCTCGCGGACCTTGTAGTGGCCTGTGGCTTTGCCGCGATTCTGGTTGTGTTTGGATGATTTCGTGTAGTTTTTTTGCAGTGACCTCACCGAAACAGCGTCACATGGCGCCTTCACTGCAGCCGACCGAGGCAGCGAAGCTGGAGCCCCGACACAAGGCCCTGGCGATGAAGCGGTCGCTGCGCTGCAAGACATGCGAGCACACCCTCAGCAAGGCCGATTTCAACCCCAGCTCGATAAAATTCCGCATCAACTTGAGCGCCTTCTGCTATGTGCCCGATCTGCGATTCACGCTCCCCTTGGAGAACTTGGAAGGCGGCGTCTCCGACAGCAGAGGCGTAACCCCGCGCCTGCTCCCTACGGTCTCATTCGACAGCGTCCCTCCGAGAGAACTTTGGCTGAAAGGCCTAAGTCAAGCCAAGGTGAGCCCTGCCTGTTTTGTGCGCTCAATCCGACTGCTCTTCACTTGTTTGTTTTGCGAGTCTCTGCCGTTCCCGGACATGCGTTTCCATACTGGATCCTACGTGGCAACTCTTTTGTTTATTTCAGCCAATGAATGTGGTCCTTTTTCTGTCCAATCCCGCTCATCGAATCACCACAGTGCGCCTCCGTCAGCTAACCCCTGAAGAAGAAGCAGTCCAGTTGGCCGATTATTTCGCAAAAACACGATCCGCAAATAGCAAGGAACCAGCTTCGTACTCAACGGTGAAGGTATTTATAAAGAGAAATGCACACCCACATAGTATTGCTAGGAGAAATTTGCCTAAACCAACGAACTGGAGTTTTTTTTTCTGCACAGCTCGGTTTGCCGCCCTACGGAATCAAAGTCGGTGGGAAAAGTGACACCAGCGAATACAGTGATCTCGCCTCAGTCGACAAATCGAACGAGTTCTTCGACGACGACCCCAAGTAAGCAAAGGTTAATTGCACTTGACTTGTCTCCTCTGGTAAAAGCCGTCGTGAGGTAGGAAGGAAAACGCACCATGTTCATTTACAGTGGACATGACCGCGGTTAGATTGACACCTGTGACTGGCGTGTTTGTTGCTTGAAGGGTGATCGCCTGCAGACGCGGTAACAAGGTGGGCATAAACACGACGGTCAGTCTGCTCATCCCCTCTGGACCCCTGCGCGCTGCTGTCATGATGACCTTCGACTATGCCAACACGGCGGCGGCGGTGACGGGCCCCAGCGCCGCGCTGATCTCGGCCGAACAGCGCGCCGCCACGATGAGCGCCGTCCTCGCGGCCTCGGGCATCAGCGACAACGGCGGCGGCGGCGGCAGCGGCTCCGCGCCTCCACCGGCCAAGGCGGAGGCAGTGGACACGCGTGATGTCCATCTCGTCTACCTTCTGGATTTTGGCCTGTGCTGATGGTGATGGTGATGGTGTTTTGTTTTTTTTTCTCTTCATAATGGTGCGCTGCGGTTATCATGTCTTCGAAAGGGCGATTCTGCTATTTCACACTGCCTTGTTTTTCTGGTTTAAGGGGAGAATTTCGGAAGGGTGTCGATGCCTCGGGGAGGTTAAGCAGAACCCCATGGGCCTTGTTAGTTGTTTCGCAAATTAAATGTGTTGGTATTTTTCATGTTAATGTGCTAAATCACTAGTTCTATTGCCTCCTCCTCTCTCCGGCATCAGCGAAGCGGCGTGTGTTCGAATCCCACACACGATTCAGCAAGGGGACGAGGTACCGGTTCTGGACTTGTACGACGCAACCAAGGAACCCCAAGAAACAACATGGAGGCCAGAGTCAACGGTATTTCCGTCGTATGTGCTTAACATGCACGACAATAAATGAATGTACAAAGGTGTGGAAGTGGATGTGACGGAGTCACTGTATGCAGGAATCGAATTTAAGCGATAGAACTCCTGTGACAGAGATGGAAATGCCACGAATCGATACGGATCTGCTGATCCAGTAGTTGTAAATAAAAGGGAGTGCGTCACCTGGTGGACATGCTTCTTTGAGTCCTTGAGTTGATCATGCGCTGGTCAAGAAGTCCTGAATAGTTTTGACGACTACCTTAGCGATATCGGCTAGCTAGAAAGGGTCTGGTTTGTTCGCCAGTCGTACAGGAACGAGGCTTTAATATACTTGATCCGGTTGTGTGTTTTTGCTCAATTTTATATCCAAAAAACGGAACAGGCATACTATAAACGATAACGCGTTTTGCATAAATGAACAACTTAAAAGTCGTCTCGTGAAGTGCTACTGCCTTAATTTCAGTAGAACTCGGTGAACCACATCAGTGACCACTGCTAGCGTAATGTGGAGTAGTAAGGCAATTCATGTAACCCAGAGACCAATGAGCAAGTGAGATACGATGCCAACACTCACTCGACACATTGTGTTGTGCACACAAGGGATATGTTGTAAAGACTCGGGCCATCTGCTGTAATCACCACATCTGCCAGCCAATTCTCTGAAATCTGCTTAGATGGGATCCGGTTACTTTGAATATCATCATGCATACAGATCTACTTGAGTTCATACAAGCAACATCTCTGAAGTATGTGCGCAATGCTTGTAGTTGTTCACGGTTGAAGGGTTAGTTGCTAGACCAATGTGGTGTTTAGGCAAGAAATCGTGTACGACGGGCAAAGCTGGTATGCGTATGTCTTTATTTTTATTGCATACTCCGCGTCATTCTTCTTTGACATGGAGTGAACCTCGAATTCGCTGCGAGTTCCATTCCGCCATGGTGACATAATATCACTCAAGCAATAATCGGATGTTTCTGCACACTGAGGGTAAAAGGGTGGTTTCATGGCGGAGTTCTCATTTTAATCCACAAATTTACCGGAAAAAAATCAGGCTGTTTGAATCTGGCCATGAAGGATCAAATCTGATCTGTCGGCGTGTCCTATTCGAGATTGATCAGTGCTTTGAATGGAGCGGTTTTGCGTTTCAGCATTGCGATGAGTGGCGTTTTGTGACGCTGTTGACTTTTCGAGTACTGTGGTATTTTAAATTTTGAAATCGGTTGCTTGAGTTAAGGTAGTTGAAGTCTAAGGCACGTAATTTCCCCAGAAATTGGAAATTGCCTTCACTAACCAACGTGATGCAACTTTGAGGGGTGACTTGGTGATACACACGAACCGAAGGACATGTAGCTAGAAAATAATTGTTTTCAGGTTGCTTTTGCGAAAGTTAATTTCAAGCGGTTACTCTTAAGCAGCAGAACACTTACGCTTTCTACTGCCCGCAGAATGAATAAATTCGGCAAAAATGAAGTCGTAGTTAAAGATGCTTATGTTTTTCCCTGAAATAAGGTTAGTCTAACTCTATTGCATTTTCAGTCGTAGACAATTAGATGCTCGATACCGTTTGAATAGGCAACTTTTGGTACGCATTCAAGCACAGACAATCATAGGGCATATCGTTTACGTATTTTTTTTGCAATTACCTCGAAATCAGTAAAATTGGGTTCTTGATGTATGACTGGGGTGCGCGCATCTGTGAAATGCCAGTTAAAGGGCTACACTTATGGGGAAAAGTGCCAATTCGTGTCAGTTAGATGCAACAGAATGGTTGCGATAGCATTAAAAGTAGCGTTTTTACACTCCTGTACTCAGGAATTGGTTCCTAACAGTGGAGATTGCCAAAATTAAGCAGTGACACCAAAATAATCTCCTTCTAGGATCCATATTTATTGCCTGGCTACAGTTGGCATAAAATATTGTTTATTAGGATGAACGTCCATGGTTAATTGTAATGTTTTCGAAAAACTAGTATTTCCAACAAACCCCGATCTCATTTGTCACGGAGAATTCCAAGTTTAGTGTACTAAAATAATTGACACCTCAAGCATGAGTGGACGCTCAATAATACTGAATAGTGGTTATATAAGAGGTCCCCTTCTGAACAGTGGGTTCCCCTACTAACAACTCTTCAATAGTTTATTCATCGTCCTCGAAAGGACTCTAAACCAGACCGTCAATTGACAATTCGACTGACTATGGCCTCAAGTGGTATTTCAACTTGCCCCATTTTCCACCCCATCAGCTAGTAAAACTAGTAGTTGAATTGTGTGGGAGTGCACAGTTAAGGGTCTGCGTCATCTTAAAATGATGCGAATGCAGGTAAGACACTGGGTCAGTTTGGAAGACAAGAAAACGAGTTTTCATGAATGAGAAGAACTTAAGGTAACTCCTTTTCGGGTATCTGAGTAGTGCAATCCGTCATCAACAAAGCTGCGAATGCAATGTGGGTTAAGCCCCACATTGGAGTTTCCACAATTGGTGCATTCGCCGCAATCAAAGGTAGCAACGGATCTTAAAATACAATACCGATTGTTGGGCAGTTGCTTCCGTAGATGGTATAGTTGTTTCCCGTACTTTCAGGAAAAAAAATGAGTCAATGAAGATGTTGCGATCTACCATCCAAACCAAGCCAACCTCCCATTTCTTCGGACCATTCAAATTCCATGTGGAATTTACGAAAGTTATTAAATTATAGATAACAGCCAGAAAATTCTAGAGTGATATGTCAAAAACAAGGTGGATTTTGCGTTTGCCCAATTCATACAAAACGCATATACAAACTATTGAACATCGTAGTTGCGATACAGAGGGAGTGAAATCTAAATGACTCCCTACTGCCTCCTCTGACATAGCGTTAACGCCAAGGGTATCAATTCGCAATAAAATGTTTTTGCTGGTCAAAATAAGGTGGAATGCAGAGTGTTGGCATCAAAATGTTATGGCGTATGCGCACCACTAGAGCGGTAATGCAGTGTTCGAGTGACTTGTCAGCAGCCTCGTTAACCTTTGCCTCCCAACCAAAATATATGGGTTCCTAATTAAAGGTCTTTCAGTCGAGCTAACGTAATGACCAGTTTGGTGCACCCACAGGGTAGCATTCGCAAACAACACTAGGGCTTCAACATATAAGGACAAATGCACTAACAGTAATCTGCACAAAAATGCTGAAGAGCCGTTGCAAACCAGGCGACTGACGAACGCCACCAAAGAAGAGCGTACTGCCGAGTTAAAAACCCACACCATTGGAGGACCCTTATGTTTAATGATGCTGGCAGCTTCACCGATCGGCTGTCGTTAATGGAGTCGTAAAAAACGGCGACCTCAATGTCGAAACAGCGAATATTCTAGTTGCACACACCAGTGCAATTGCGAAATGTCGACTAGTTCCGGCTGAACCAGTTTCTGCCATTCATCAAGTCATGCTTCACTAACACGAGTGTCTGGCTGGAATCACCTCTTCGCAAATGCCACTCGCCAAACAGAATACATCCCAATTCATCCACATCTGGAAAGGTTCTCTATCGCTTCGACAATGTCACGTTCCAATAAAGCAATTATTGCAATTATCGCGGACAGCCGATGTTGCCAAAAACAGACGATTTGTAGATTGGTGTACACGAGGTCCATTTGCATCTTCTGGTCTGCATGTGATGTCTTCGACTGCGACAAAGGATCAGATTCATCCCAAACATAAATTCACATGCAACGCCATGGTGTGTCTGTGGAGATTTTAAGAGTGAACTGAGAACGAGATGCTCTCCTCTTCACTACGCCTCCATTATGATTCTTGAAACCGTATCACTGGGTCCCACATGTCAAACCTGAATTTGGAGTGTATTGAGACATTATACGACCAGATGTCTCATTTCGAAAATGAGCCGCAAATGAAGATACACTTCTCACATTATTTCCCAGTTCAGACTTCATTCTCAGGTTCTCACAATTAGTCATGTCCAACTCATTTTCGTATCATTTTATACCGCTTCAGTGGCGTAAGATGCTATCACGATTGCAAAAATGACAGACATCTAGTTACTTAAGTGGCAAAAGCTGCATAAAACCTCCAAATACCGCTTTAATTTACACCAGCCATCAGTACTTTACATGATGACGATGGTTTAGCACACTACCCACATTGTACTGTTAAATGTTTCATTTCGAATATGACATACCATTCACATAACCTCTTCTGGTTGTCATAGTGAGTTAAGTCGAACTCGTTTGTTCAGCCATTTGACCTCTTCTTGTGCAGGGAATCTGCGCTTGTTGATAAAGGCACGATCATCCATGTCAGAAGTAATCTGTCATTCAAGAAACGTGAGGATGCATGAAATTTTGGTTGGTCACTATCATTTGTGTCCAACATTGCAACCTCACATTGTACATTATCGACATCCCTTTGTTTAAGATTTTGTTCCTGACACCAATTCCAACCACCTTAATACAAACTAGACTACCACTGCTACCATTTTGTTCGGGGAGCCGAAAGCACGTTGATTGAACCAGAGAGGAACAACGTCCCACAACAGCGTCATTAATCACTTGAAAGGACAATCACTAACTCACCTGGTATGCAGAATTCCCTAGCAATGCGTAGTTTCGATAAC